GGCCAACATAGTGAAACCCCATCTTTACTAAAAATACAAAATTAGCCGGGCATGTTGGCATGCACCTGTAGTCTCAGCTACTTGGGAGGCTGAGGCAGGAGAATCGCTTCAACTCAGGAGGCAGAAGAGGTTGTGGTGAGCTGAGGTCGCACCACTGCACTCCAGCCTGGGCAACAGTGAGACTCCGTCTCAAAAAAAAAAAAAAAAAAAAAAAAATGGTAGTAGACATCAGAGGTCATTGCAGAATAATTAAAGAAGCAGATGATATTACACTGGAGTACAATGATTATCACAGATATATTCTTCAGGACGGATAGGACAAAATCTTCCATTCCACACAGTTTTCTTACAAGGTGATATTGACACCTCTCTCAAGGAAAGTTGGGGTCTATTTTATCCCTTGAATCCAGGCCTGCCAGCAACCAGGAAGGAAATGATACTATGTAACTTCCAAGGCAGTTGATAAAAGGAATTAGAGTTTCTGCCTAGTCTTTTTGGTTAGTTGCTTTAGAGACCTTCCACTATGCTGTGAGGAAGCCCAGAGCATATGGAGAGGCCCTGAGTAGGAATTCTGACGGACAATCCCAGCTGACAGCCAATATCAACTAACAAACATGTGAGTGAAGAAGCCTTCAAGGTATGTTTAGTTCTAGCCACCATTTGGCTGCAATCCACATGAAAGATCCCAAGCAAGAGCCATGAGCGATAACAACAAATTGATTGTTGTTGTTGTAAACCACAAAATTTGAGGGTAGTTTCATTTATTTTGTTTTGCTTTTGTTTTTGTTTTTTACAGCCATAGATAATCAAGACAACTATTTATAGTCTATCTCACTGAAGATATTCTAAACATTAGTCAAAGTATCACCAAATCAGCCCTATGCCTAGTGGCCACTGTTGCGAATGAGTACTTGGCCAGTCTGATTTCATAATACCTTGGCAGTATTAGGTATCACTGGAAGTTGCTAGCTACAGAAGTTTATGAAGCTTCATGAGCAACAGGAAATGTGGAGGCATCAGGAATTTTCACAAAGCATGATACATCGTATCTATCAAATTTGGTAATAAAGTAATTATTTGTCATGTAGGTACTGCTGGAGTAAGCCAAAATTGGAGCAAATAATTTAATTCAAAAGTTATTTCCCCTATTCAATGATGTATACATAAGTCTGTATAACTCCTTAACAAACAATAATATAAAATTTGTTCTTAAAAGTAAATATATTGCTTCATTTAAAATCTTGAAGTTTGCTTCCATACAACCCTTTCTACAAAGACAAGGCTTAAGACATAAATTTGTAATTTGGGGTTGTAATGAAAGTAAAACAGCTGTAATGTCATCTTTATGAACTGCCCTGAAATGTGTCTGTCCAAAGGCAGAATATACATAATAAAATCTTTCATAACAGTACAAAACAATATTTTTTATTTTATGTCTGGGATGATATAAAGTTTCTTATGCTTGAAATGACATTGAAGTAAATTGCCAGAAAAGACTTTTGAGATTTTTTTCTTTTTTTGACAAGGACAAACCCATGACATTTTTACAAAGCCTTTGGTCTTAACCTTGGAAATCTGACTGCTTAGGATAAAGGCAGAGAAAATGAGCAAGAAAGCTCTAAAGGTAAGATGTTATTATTAAATGCAAATATATTCATTAAGGAATTGGCCAAACAGGAAGGAATATTCCACTTTTAATGAATTCTTTAAACACACAAATATTCTGCAAGTGTGCATTTTAATTTAACCTTTGAAGCAGTGGTTATCAGTGGAAATGGACCTGGGTGATAAGATGCTATCTAGAACTTATTTTTTTACCCTTTATTTTATATACATGTAATATGAAATTTTTTAGTCCATTAAAAGCTGTCCATTATTTTCACTTTCATATTCTAGACCTTCCTGCAAAGTTACTAAAAGCTCTAATGGAATCATTTTTATAGGATTTGAAATTTTGAGTTGTATTGCTAGAAATACTTCACATAATGAAAATACTATATGTAATTTTAAAAAATATATCTTCCAAAAATGTTAAAACACTGATGAGGAATTAAAGTATATTTTGCATGTAGTAAAGTTTTGTGATACACAGTGACATTGGGACAATTATCTGAGTAATTCAGAACAAACACATATACATATCTAGTGGCAGCCAACACATACACAGTAAGTAAAATTTGTACAAGTTTTAAAGTTAAACAACTCAAGTAATATGGATAAAATCTACACACTAATGGCATGTTATAGGATTTTGATCAGAGCACTGAAAAAAGGGATTTCATTATTTTAATCATTGCTTGGGTCATCAAGGAGTTTGAAAGGTAAAAATCATTCATAATTTCACCAACAATTGCTGAGGGCCTACAAAACGTACAATGTGATTGACTGTTTTTAACCATCTAATTTGCTAACCTATAAACAAAAATTTAAAAGGTTTTGAACAAAAATAAGATACAGACCTACACAAGCAAATGCAATGAATGCTTTTTGAAACTACTTGGAGATGGAAAAAAATTTTTTCTTGACATTTGGTATTAAAGTTCTCTTTAGATTAAAACACATAAATAATTATTTCACTGTTAACTTCCTTCATGTAGCTAAGAGTTTGGAAGACAGTTATTTCACATAGTTATCTTCAAAAAATATTCTTAAATGATAAAATATGTACTCCTATATAATTGACATAACCTCAATGAGAAAGCTTTTTATAAATCATATATGAAAACATTCTCATAATTTCATAGCTGTGTCCTACATATGTACCTATGATTTCCACTTATTCCAATGGATACTTTCTCTGTTTTCAGATGTAGCTGAAATTAAAGACTATCTGTTATTCTGCAGTTACTAACAGAAACTTATAACTTATATTCATTCACTTTGTTTCTTTATGAAATCAATTCTCCCTTCTGGATGAAACACACTATTTCTCATCTATTAAGTTAACTTTATAAGATATCAGTACCAAATGCCTGTAGAAAAGAGAACATTCAAATGCCACATCACCTCTAATGGTAATAATAGCATAGCATCTCTCAAGTGGTCGACAGATAACCTTTTATCTCTTTTTTTAATTTACAAGAATTCTTTGACTTTCATTCCACTAATGATGTAGAAGTGACAAGTGAAAAAGTTAAATGAAAATTTTATGACACATGCAAGACTCATATTAGTAAAAGAATTCTTAGAGACCAAAATGGCAGATAAATCAAAGACCAATTTGAAGATGAAAAAAATTAATAGCTTCTCATCTTTTATCTGCATAACTCATTAAGAAATAGTCTAACAAACGTATTGTTTTTATAACATGATTTAGAATCACACTCAAATTCTCTTTGACAGTGGCCATGTTTTCTTAAAGACACTGAATTCTTCAGAACATTCCGTTTATCTCTCCTCTCTTTGGAAACCCAATTACCTTGGCATTTTTCCTTGAAGTAATAATGTGTTTCAAAATGTGTATTCAAGGTCACATCTTTATCTCCTCACGAAGACTTATCATCAGCTACATAAGAAGCTCGGTGGGCACATCAAAAGGCATATAGAAGTGGGCAGACAGAAGGTAAGAAGAAATATGACCAGTATGGCAGGAGAAAGATTTGGAGTTCCAGGGCCAGTTCTTTCAGTAATTAAATATGTTTACCTCACTTTCTTCATTTCTGTAATGTGATATTTGGTTAGAATTACTCCATATTTCCTCTACCTCTAAAATACTGTGATTTCGACAAATTAGAGATTGTCCAGAAGTTGAGCCTCAGGATGGTTAATCTTCTTAATGGATGAACAGATTGAAATTGAATTGAACATAGGCAGGAGAAATTGGAAGAGAAGCTATTGTAATATGCAAGTCAAGATAGCCTGGAGAGAGGAGGAAAGAGAATTTTATGGAATTAGAGAGAGAGAATAATTGTCACCCGCCAACTGGTTGAGTGTGATGCAAGGGAAACAAAAGAAAAGGAAATAAACACAACTCTGAGATGTTAAGTGTTGACTGAGAAGCTATTTGAGGGAAAAGATGAATCGTTAAGGATTTTCTTTAGTAATTCACTATATCTTACTTGTAGACATATAGATTGAAATGTCTAGCAGGTAATTAGTAACTCAGAAGAGAACTTAGGGAGAGATAAACAGAGCTGGGATCATCTTCCTGGGTATGACAAGTAAAGTCATGACTTTGAATAAGACAGCCAAAAGGGGCAGTATAAGGTTGAATGCCAACAAAAATTAACATAGATAAGAACTCAAGGAATTATTTAGATTCAGCCATTAAACAGTCATGGTAACCAGTAAGAGAAAATAAAACAAACTCAACTATTTATATATTATTTTTGCCATATATTCTATTGTAGATGTTCTAGGTGCTTGAAATACACACACCCATATCTTGTGTCTTGGTTAATTTTCCCTCACATTTGCTTAATACACGCTTGATATTTTTGATCCTATTATTGAATGCAAAAAGACTATAGACAGTCTCATCTCCATTGTTGACTGCATATCAATACAATATCACAAAGTACTGTACTTTGCTTTAACATTTTTGCCTAGTAATATATTTATTACTCCAGCAATTTAATTTGCTTGGTGTGATATTTTTGTACTTTAACTTCTTTAGGCACTCCATTTTAATCTAGGTTTTTCAACAGCAGCACTACTGATATTTGGATGGCATAATATTTTGTCCTGAGAGCTGCTCTGTGTGTTGTAAGATGTTTAGCAACATGCAACATGTCTGGTCTCTGCTCACCAGATACCAGCAGCACCCGCACTTCCAGTTATGACAGTCATAAACATCTTCACACATTGCCAAATGTCTCTGGGAGGCAAAATCACCACCTAAGTGCTTGACCTTTGAAAACCACTCTTTTAGATTGATGGGGTTCAGAACACACTACCCCAAAATATGGCATCTTGGCATTTCAGAAAACAGCAGAAACAGGAAGTTCACTCTGTGAGCTTTTCCCGCCCTTCTCCCCTGAAGCAGGCCATAAAAGAATCCTCTGACGTTTCTGTAAAGTAGGTCATAAGAACCTTCATTCCAGAAGTACCCTCAAAGACAGAGACACCCAGAAGAATCGGAACATACAGGCTTTGGTAAGTTCCCTATAGTATCTTAGATCATACTCCTTTTTGTACAATTATATTTCTACATGACTGTCCACTTTTTATCAACCTGAAGCATAAAAATACACATTTCTCTGTTTCTTTGGTTCTTCATTTCTGAAGGCTTTTTTTCATGTAAATTTATATTGAATAAATCTGTACGTTTTTATTTTGTTACTGTCTTTTGTTATAGGACTGTCAGGCATGAACCTATCTATGGGCAAGAAAAGGAATCTCTTCTCCCCTACAAGATATGTCACTTGTATATAAGCATTTAATTGGAATTTGCCATTTTTAGAGAAGCTGAGTCATTTTCTTCTTTTAATAAGTAGATTTATCTTGATATACTTGATTTTATTCTGCCCCCTAATTGCATATTTTTGTGGCCTACATATCATTTTTTTTCTATTTTTTGTTAAATGGAAAGTCTTGTGTTTTGGGTGTGTGTGTGCGCGTATGTGTATTTTCTTTTTCTGACAACTTAAAAGGTTTACGATCTGTTTTTCATTTTTGTAAGGGTTACAGTCAGAACTTTGCATCATCTGTTGAAATCGTAACTGATAAAAATCAGCTTGACTATATCTATTGATTCTCAGATATAAACCATTTTTAAAAATGAACATGTTCATACTTCCTTCCAATTTTGATGTGTATTTTTAGTTTCTTTTTAATCTTATTTTCCATTTATTTTATTAGAATTAGTGAGATCCATGAATCTGTGACCTGCCTTTCCCACAAGACTTCTTCATCACCTTGAACTTCTACATTCCCATATGTCATTTAAAAGCCTAGTATTATACATGTTTTAATTACTGTTGGACAATAGAGCACTCCATCAAAGAATTAATTCTTATTTATATGTCCATTTTTTTCTAGATCAACTGTAATGGTAAGGAGCTTTCCTAAAAAATAATCCCTTTGGTTATACTGATAAGACATGAATGAATAAATAAGAAAAAAAAAAACTAAGCAGATGTGTCACAGCTAAGATATTTTAGACAAATTCTAACAGAAAAATGTATTGGAGGATAAAGGGTATGTAGGTTGGATTTGAAGGGTAACATTTTCTCTGAAGAGCCTGCTCTACTTTTCAATCTGAATCTTTCAATATAGGCAAAAAAATTGGCAGTGGAGGAAGTTAGGGGTGATAGTGTGTCAGCACATGCATGGCCCTAAGCGTTGTTACAATATCAAAATACTTCTCAGCACAGACTCAACTCCCTGACTTCCCAAGTGCTCTGATTCCTCTAGACTCCCCCAGCCCCTCGCATAGGTCAACCCCTACAGTCTCACCACTATGAAACAATAAAAAAATTAATGCCTATCATTTCAGGGGGCCTCAGGCACCCTGATCTATTGCTATAGCTTTCTGTTCTATTTGATGGTGTCTGTGCTAATTAGAATTTTAAATTATAAAATTTAAAATTATCCCTGGAAGTAAGCATGGCTGAGAGTCCCATTTCCTATTAGATAATAATAAGAGATGATTAACAGATAGGTGATAGATAGATAGATAGACCAGTTGATCCCTAGCTAGAAGTAGGCATGCTTCAGCTCTACTTTCCATCAGATAAGAAATGTGTGTGCCTGTGCACATACATATAATATTGAAGTGTGAGGAACCTTTCACAAGGAAAGTTATCCACCTCACTTCTGATTAGCATACAGCTAAATATTTAATTATTTTGCCTAAAAAAAAAAACCCATAACTCTCAAAGAGTGAGATTTACATTTGTGAAGTCTCTGGACACATCATCCTTAAATCTGGCATTATTTTATATCAGGCATTAAAATTTGTCCCAAGGCACACATGATTCAGAACAAGCATGTGACATATAATTCATAGAGATCTCATAGAACTAGACCAGAAGATATGAATAGTATAGCAGTAATTAAAAGAAAAAAATAAGAATTATAGGGGAAATTTCCAAATGCTTCCACTATAGTTTTCTTATTTAAGTAGCAAATGCCCTCAAGGAACTGACAACAGATTAAGAACTTGCATTCTGGGGTTCTGAAGGGAAACTGATGATCTCCAAAGCCCTAGCAAAAACAAACACTGAACAGGAACACTTCCAAAAGAAAACAAAAGCGTATCTTACTATTGTTAAAAGAAAAAACTTTAGAAGAATTGATTTTAGCAGGGTTTAAATGAGCAAAGAGACAATTAATGAATGAGGCAGCACCCTAAATGAGTAATGGTTTAGAAAGCTCCTCCCTGCAAAGTGGGCGGGCAGTATTTACGAACAGAAAAATAAAATGACAAACAGAAATAGTGTCATTGATTACAGCTCCTCCTTTGCCTTACTTGGACGTGTCTGAGCAGTCTGTAGCCTGTAACTGGCTGAAAGCTCAGCTGCTAAGATTGTCCAAGACTCGGCTACTTGTTACAAGAATATATTCTTAATTTATGTTGCAGTTTGTTTGCATGCTAAGTTAGATTGCAGTTTACTGAAAATGGGGCAGCATTAGGCCAAATTCAATTCAACAATATGTATGAAGTTAATCTAAATAGTAGGATGTAATTAAGGCATTGCATTTTGCTTATTCTAAAAATAGTGCCATTCAAAAAAAACACTATTGATCTTTTCTCCAATGTGCCCTTTACATTGTCTAATATTTTATACTGAAAACAGCATACATACTATTTAATTTTTTAGTCCAAGCATTAGAAGATGACTATTCAGAATTTTTCAATTCATAAACAATACACCTTTAATCATTTCATATTTCGCTTTATTTAAGACAATTCACTACCAATACAAATTGAAATATCTTTGTGATACATTTATTCTGAGGATTTTTTTAACTCTTAATTTCTTTCCCTCTTTAATATCCCCTAGCATATCTTGCAGTAGACACCTCTTAAGTTATGTGAAGACATTTTTTTTTTGTTTTTTTGAGATGGAGTCTCACTCTGTGGCCCAAGGTGGAGTGCAGTGGTACAATCATGGCTCACTGCAACCTCCGCCTCCTGGGTTCAAGCGATTCTCCTGCTCAGCCTCCTGAGTAACTGGGACTAGTCAGTGGGTGCCCGCCACCACGCCCAGCTGATTTTTGTATTTTTAGTAGATACGGGGTTTCACCATATTGGTCAGACTGGTGTCTAACTCCTGATCTCTTAATCTGCCTGCCTCAGCCTCCCAAAGTGCTAGGACTACAGGCGTGAGCCACCGCGCCCGGCCTGTGAAAGATTTTAAATATACTTTGCTTCATACATGACAGAAGGAAAAACAAAATTATTCCAAACTTAAAAACAGATAAACAGAAGAAAACACAAACTTTGTTCCAAATTAGGAATAAAAACCAACCTGATGTTACTTAATGTTAAAAATTAGAGTTCTTTAGAAAAGATGGCAAACTTGTTTATTAGTTTCAGGTACTAAACGTAGTATGGGAATTTTAGCATCATTTGAGCTATTTATTCAGCTACTTGACATAAATCAATCATCAGGCCCCAGTTTCATCACAAGACCTCAGACCAAAAATGGCAAACGAAGTTTTGTAAAGTTTTAAAACATACAACCCGATCCTTACTGAACTTCTTTATTGCTCTAAATTAAGGGCACAGTTTGATAAAGAGAAAGGCTGACAAATAAGCACACATAAAAATTAAGGTGAAAAGGGATAACGCACAGCAGTTAGAAGAATAGGACAACTATGATTTTTGCATAAAATATGTCTTTGCATTATTTATATATTGCAATATTCCATTCACAGGAAATGTGGGGCTGTGGAGCAGCAAGGAAACACACAATAAATTTTACAGAGAAACATGTACCTCTTTGCAGTCAAATAAATCGACTGACTGCCACTGAATAAACACAGCTTAGGTTTTCTTAGATTGCTCTTATCCTGGCTATCTACAAATGTTGCAACACCTTTAAATTTTAAGATTAAGTTGTCATTGTCAGTTCTTGTAACAGATTTTCTTACTCTTAAGTTTATGGGAGAGGAGGAGAATACGGGATAATGTAAATTTCTCTGCCACACAGCTCTGCTCTCTTAATAATTCAGACTTTCGCCATCCAGGGAAAAAATGAATACCTAATGTGAATATATGGAATCCTGACCCAGCTTTCAGATTGAGAGAGTCTATGAATCATCACATTTGATGTTTATGATTCAAAATGCAGGATTGCCTTAAACTAAGGCAATTAGGAAGATAGTTTTTCAGAGACGTTAGTCTTCGTTAAGATTTCTAGGTCCCCATAAGAGCACTTAGTCAGATAATTGCTAAAGCACATATGTGGCTCTAGGAACTATGGAAAAAGTAAATGCCATAGGAAGATTATTTTTTAAATTACCTCATTCATCAGTCTATTGTAAGAGACAGCAAATTTGAAACTAAAGGTCACAGGCTGCTTTAGATGCATGGACTTAAAAATTAGAGAAAGTCATCAATAAAACTTAGTTCTTATTCATTATAATCATTTCATTTAGGAAATTTTCAAAAGGTGAATGGAATTTTTAAGCCCATGAAAGATGAATTTTTGTCACCTTAACCCCAGAGTGGCTCAGGGTCAGAGAAGGTAGAGAGATCATAAGTTAATAACAGCTTACACACTCCTATCCTTGAAAAGAGTGGAAATTACTGGCTAGAATTTCAGTTTATTACATGGTATAGCAGGATGATGGGTGTAAGTGTGTCTGTGTGTGTGTGTGCGCGCACGCACGTGTGTTTGCCCTGGAAAACTACTGTATCACTTCCCCAAAATAAACTCTTAAATCAGGGGTTATAGCTTGTTTGTCTTAGAAGTGGGTCCACAGGATGTTTACAAGAGAATTCATTTCCCAGCCTTCCTCACATGACTCCTGATTTTCCGTGAAGTAATAATTGTTCCTTCATTTAACTCAACTGTAGAATTATTAGGTTGGTGTGAAAGTGATTGCAGTTTTTACCATTTAAAAGTAAAGCCCAAAACCGCAATTACTTTTGCACTGAACTACTTCTTTCATATTCTTGACCTTTAGTCTCTCCAGGCTCCTGTTTCTTCATCTGTAAACTGGAGAGAATAATACCACTTAACACATACGTTAAAATCAAAAGAAATAAACAGATGAAGATGTACATTGAAAGTACCATACAGATATGCTATTTTTAAAAAGACGAAACGTATTTTTAAAAAGATAAAATGTAAAAAGAAACAAAATGAGGGAAATTTAATGACAGTGTAACAGGGGACTGAAAATTCTGATTTCTCAATCCTTATTCTATATCTCTTGGTATTTAGTGTAAAAATGTTTAAATCTTTACCTAGCAATCTTGAGGAAGAAACTTGATAACTGATAATACATGAGACTGTTACTTAAGTGAAATATAATCCTATATATTCAACAAACTGTAGAGAAATAAGATAAATTTTAAAGTAAATGACTTCGTAGTTTTATAGATCCTCCAAACCAAACTAGTCTCAGATCTCACCTTCATCATTTCTCTCATTTCCTTTTGGCCTAATTAATCAAAATCCTTCCTAGAATGTTCATTTCTGACCAATATGTCTTCCTGAATATGAATAAGAAATAAAATACCATTTGATGTTTGAAATTATGGGGATAATCTCAATGACGGAAATAGATGACCAGGAAAAGGGAAACAAATGCCTGATTCATTATATTCATGAAGATGTCAAAGGTTTATAAAGCCAATATCTGGGAGAGAGAAAACCGTAAGACTTCCGGATCTCCTCTGGTGAAGTGTGTTTCCCGCAACGATCACCAACATGAACATCAAAGGATCGCCATGGAAAGGTATGTGTGACAACTCACTGGGTTGTTGGTTGTATCAACACTTCTGTGGGGGGGATTAATGTGAAATTTTAACTAATAAGAGGTTGCAGGTTTACAATGTTTAGAAGTGCAATCTAATGATTGCTCTAGGAAGTAATTATACAAGCGCACCATAGAACAGAACAATGGTTCTCAAACAGGGAAATCCTCTCTTCTCCCAGAGGCATTTGGCAACGTCAGGAGGTGTTTTGGGTTGTCTTAACTGAGGTGGAGAAGTGAGGGAAAAGTGCTATTGGTATCTAATGGATAGAGATCAGGGATGCTACTAAACATCCTTCAATGCACGGGACAGCCCCCAGAACAAGAAATTATTCAACTCAAAATGCCAATAATATCAAGATTGAGAAACTCTGGACTAGAATAAGACTCAAAGAGTCTATGGGTCCAATTTGCCACAACTCTCAAAGGGACAAAGTAACATTTTCTGGTTATCAGGCCTCTAATGTGGATTGGCCAACTCAAATCAACCTGATGAAACTTTCAATTGTGAAGCCATAAAATAAACACTAATAGCAGAATTGTCTTTTCTATTCTTTGTCAATTTGGTTCAAGCCAAATGACATTTCAAAAGGAAAAACAGGTTACCTAGTAATAACTAATCACCTTTACTTTCTTGATTGACATTTGCAAGGAAAATAAATTAGTAACAACCATAAAATTTGTTTCTAGTGAAATGAAGAACACAAACGTGTCTATTTTATCTCATCTTGGGCTTTAAAAATCCCTTCCATGCTAAATGTGCAGATAAATGTACTCAGAGATACAGAACATCTATCCAGTTGTGAATTTCCTAGACCTGTTATTCCAATTTCTCTATCCACAAAGCACATTTTATTTACGCATACAGATAAAATATACATTTGGTTTCATCGTTTTATTATAGTATGCATAAAATAAACTTTTTGGAAGCATCATGTTTTTGAAAAATTAAAAGTCTGTAATAGGAATCATCTCAAACAAAAATTTTATTTTACAACTAAAAGGTCACTTCCTACACTAAACAATTTTTTAGGTATTTTTAAGTGTTTAGGTTTAGGTACTTTTTCACAAACTAATCTTTAGCATTTGCCTAGTTTTATCTTGGACATTTCCGATTGCATTTATTAAAGGTTTTGAAGGACTTAAGTTTTGTGATAAACACGGTTTTATATTGGGCATTCTTTTGGGGTAGTGTCACTGAAGTTAACAAGTGATTTAAATTTGGTAGCTATATATCATTTCTTTCCTTTTGAAAGTATAAGTTATTGATATGTTACAGGCCTGTAATTGTCCATTTGCTGAGATAGCAAATTGATGACAAAGCTTTGAAAACCTTTGACAATGATCAGAGTGTTTTGTAATTAGAGCAGGAAAAGTGGATAAAAATCAAGCTTTCTGGGGCCTCTGTTGTGATGCAATCAATCAAAGGCAAAGAACTTGTTCTTTATAAGCGATGGCAACAACCTGCATAAACACTGAGCCATCACAGCTACTCATGCGGCCCCCATTACACAGATGCAGACTAAGAGCCCACAGGTGTACGCGATGTGACAAGACGATGTGCAAAGACCACAGTATTGGCATCATGCCTCTCTCACCCACTAATAATACGACTTGGGGAAAAATCACTTAACTTCCCTAAGCCATCTGTTTCATCAATATAATTTGATGATAATTACAAAGGCCCAGTGTATCTCACAAGGTTATTATGAAGCTCAAATATAGAAAACAAATTTAATGCTTTTGGCAAAGTGTCAAACAAATACATGGGATTATTATGGTGAGTTAGCAGATCTAAGCTACAGCATTATTTTTATGTCAGAATTCTCTTCACACTCAGTATTAGCAATCAAACAATCATGTGTTTATTCTTATCAGGCAGGATGATAAATCGAAAGGATCAACTGTGCTGTTTTTGTTATATCAGTGTCTAAAATGTAAATTATCAGACACACCTAGTTAAAAAAAAAATTACAAACTCCTGGACAGCCTGACTGCTGAAAACCTGCAGAAACTCCCAAGACATTAAACTATCTTAAGAGAATGACCTGAACACTCTAGCTCAGAATTAATTTAAGCTCCAAATATTTGCGAAGTACAGAAGCACTTCTGGGAACCATACAAAAATGCAGGAAGTAACCCACTTCTCAAACTATATATCTGTGCAAACACAATTATATATATATCTACATTTACACAGTGGAAGGCATTGGTTCTTCCCCCATCCCAGCCATTACAGTGCCAAATCAGGCAGCTGAGGGCAGTGGGGAGCAATAAGGCTTTCCCTCGGCAGGATTTCTTTTGAAAACCTCGGTGGAATAGATCATCTCAGAGGGGTTCGCATTCTTATTTAAGCAGGGTCCCTCCTGCTGCTGCTGGTGTCAAACCTGCTCCTGTGCCAGAACGTGGCCCCCTTGCCCGTCTGTCCTGGTGGGGCTGCCAGATGCCAGGTGACCCTTCGAGACCTGTTTGACCGCGCAGTCGTCCTGTCCCATTACATCCATAACCTCTCCTCAGAAATGTTCAGCGAATTCGTAAGTACCATGCTTCTGGCTTCCTCCCTGAAGGAGACTTCCCATGATCTATTGGGCTCTACTACATGTTAACCTAGAAAACCTCCCAAGCCAAATTTCAAATGTTACACTTTAACATGTGAAAGAAGACACCAGCTCATAAGATGTGGAACAAGAAGAAAGGGACAGTGCCATGAAATCGCAAAGATTCTCAAAGAATGTAATGACTTTTAAATTTTTTCTTTAATTCACTTTATTTTTTAAAAATAAACAAAATTTAAACACCTGACCTAAAGCATGCTTAGCTGGGGCTGAGGAGAAGGAAGAGTGTTGATTTCTTATTCTTGAATGTAGGGGTCAGACTCCACAGGCATTCTTCACTTAGCACAGAACAGATATCCAATAACGAAGAACTGCACTGAAGTGAATTGGGTGGATTGAATAGAATTAAACTGAGCTGAATCCATGCTGGGGAAAATAAACAATTAATAACTTTTCAAAAACCCCAAAATGCTAGAAATCATTTTTCTGGGATTTTCAGTGTATGGGTTTAAAATTACAATAAAGGGCTAGTTTAGAATTGGAAACCAGTGCTTTTTTTCTTTCTTTTCCTCCCTTCCTTCCTTCTCTCATTCCTTCCTTCCTCCCTTCCCTTACCCTTCCTTCCTTCCCTCTCTCCCTAGTTCCCTCCTTTCTTCCTTCTTTCCTTCCTTCCTTCCTTCCTTCCTTCCTTCCTTCCTTCCTTCCTTCCTTCCTTCCTTCCTTCCCCCCTTTCTTTTCTTTTTCAGAAATATGTACTCTATTTCTGAATAACCTATTTTGGAAATCATAGGTTAACTCTTCTAGGTCAATCAAGGAGCAGACAATAGATTACTGCTTTAATAAATCAGGGGCCTCCATAGAGAATAAGTGTACATTTATAAAATTATTTTTACTCTCTGATTTCTCTTTCATCCTCCATTTTTGACTGGCCATCTTTTGTCTTCCAAATCTTCCTAGTAATTCCTTTGTACTTTTATAAGTTTTGCTAAAGACTAGTCTTTCTTGTCAATTTGTTAGCTCATTTTTTATTCTGCTCTTATCCTCAGTCCATTGTTTATATTTCCTAAAATTGTGTGCCCTGGGTTTCTGACTTATTTTGTCATAAAAAAAAAGTTGTATTCCATGTCTATCATGAATTTAGTAAGGTACAGGTGTGTGGACTCTGAGAAACATTTAGAGAAAAGTTATAATTTTACAATGCCTATTAAGAGAAGTCTATCAGTTTGGGCCCACAGTAAATAAGAGATTAAATGAATACATGTAAATACATTTGCACTATGGCATTTGGCTCAAATGCTGAAGAAAGATGATTCTCAATACAAAATGTATTGTTTCATATTTTTGGTATCTTTAGCATTTGCTTTCCAAATAGTAACTTGTGTGACTTGTGTGAATGGTAAAAGTAAACAACAAGAGAATTGCAAAGAAGGGAAAAGATTGAGATTTATGAAAACTAGATGAAAAAATGAGTTTACAGAGATAATGGGGGGAAGTAGGCAAAAGGGTTACTTTCTTAATTCTTTAGTTTTCATTTTTATGTAGCTCTAAATTTTAAAAATTACACATCTGTCAAATGTATTAGTATTCTGGTAATGGATTCATTTATTCAATGCCCAAACAACCCCAACTAATTGAATTTGTCTCATCATTTCCAGGATAAACGGTATACCCATGGCCGGGGGTTCATTACCAGGGCCATCAACAGCTGCCACACTTCTTCCCTTCCCACCCCCGAAGACAAGGAGCAAGCCCAACAGATCAATGTGAGTCCTTCATCCAGGCTTTGCACCAAAACAACCAAGGCAGTACACCGTATTATCATGGTGATAGGTTATTAGAGGTGCTGTAATACAGTGGTAATTGTACATGCAGAGAAAAATATAGGAAGAATAAGCAATCGAAAAATTACATTATGTAGCTGATGAAATATGAGTCAAATCAAATGCTAAGTAAAGATGGTAGCGGCAATCTAAATAGCAGATCCGTACATTGTCCTTGCAGATAACATTATTTTAACCAATGCCTTGTCGCTAGGATTGTATATATACTATATGAAAGTTTGAACTGAATTCGACTTCTGTGGGTAAATATACATTTATGCATATGTAAGAAAAACAAATGCAGTTTTATTTATTACATGTTACTCGTGACTTCTACATCAACAGCATGTTACATTACTGACCCCTGCACTATTGGAGCCATCTCTTCTGGACTTTCAAGACTCTATTCTGGTTCTATTTCTGCTTCTCTGACACCTACTTTTTCATTCTTCACTGACTCTTCTGCCCTGTCTTACTTTTTAGTTAAAAGTCACCACTCCCCTCACAAAAAAAAAACAAAAACAGATCCTGTAAAATATAATATTTTACTTTTCACAGCTACAACAATTGCCACTGTTCTGATGACTACCAAGTCTGTGTATCAGCCCCAGTCATGTATCTCAGCTTCAATCTTCTGTTGCTGTAATTTCTCCCTTTTGGTTGTCTACCATAATCACAGCCTTAACATGATTTAAAACAAACATCTTTATATACATGCCCCCTACAAATTCAACGTATTCTCCATTTACAATTTTAGGAATGGTACCAACATTTCTGTCTGCTATGTTCATTAATAATAATTATGATAATAAGAGAAGGAGGAGAAAGAGAAAGGAGAGAAGGAGGAGGAAGAGGAAATATTTATTGAGATCTACAGGTTGAGTTATCACTAATCAGAAATCCCAAATACTCCAGAATCCTAAGTTTTTTGAGCACCTACATGATGCTAAAAAAACAAAATGCTCATGGGAGTATTTCAGATTTTAGATTTTTAAATTAGGAATGCTCAAATTGTACTACATTGCCAGGCACTTTATGGGCATTACTGTATTTAATCCTCATAAAAATCCTATAACATGAGGTACTGTTATTACACTTACTGAGATAAGGAAACTGAGGCTCAGAAAGGCTATGGAATTTGTACCAGTCACATGGCAAATAAGCAGTGAGCCTGGGCTTCATTCAATTCACAACCCTTACTCTTAATCATTGTGTTGCAATGCTCCCAGAAAAACTACACTGACACTCACTTTATGGCCTGTACCTCTTTATAGCTTCTTTCTTTCATATCCTCGTACATGTTTCCATTGCAATGTCCATTTATTTCTTCTTTATTCTTTTTGTTACCACTAGACTAGTTCACGTACTTCTACAAAGTAAGCATTTTACATCAGAGATAATCAGCTACTTGGAGTCTCCTACAGGATCCTGGTAGTAAGCAAAAACTAGGCAGCCAGAACGCCATTGTGAATTCCATGGTTATTCCAGATAACATTGGTTGCATCTTACTCGCCTGCATAAGCCAAGAGAACAGACTGCTCCGCCAGCAGCATGGGGCAGGGGTTGTATAGATCAAGGAAAGCATGTTGATGAATTCCATGTCATCTTCATTGTCTCTTCGTTCTAGGATCCCCAAATAAAACTACAAATCAAAAATTATGAATAGTTTGATGAACGATTTGATTCATTAGTATGAATGAATGCTTGGATGAGAGTGATTTGGGCCCCTTGACATGGACCCCAGTGGAATCTATTTCTCACAAGTCAGATACTCTGGGCACCTACTGAATTCCGGCAACACTTTAGTTTCTCCCCAGGGACAAGCAAATCGATCAAATACAAAAGATCTTGCTAAGTGGACAGATGATAGAATTTCAGAGGAAAAACGAAATTCTTCATTTTATCAATTAGAACTCTCATTAGAAAAAGGGGTTATTGAAATAAGCCAGACTTTTTTTTAATTTTAGCAAAGTTTAGGCCAATAGTTTAAATTTTACATTTCTACAACTTCTATCACCTAAAGAAAAATATACCTACACATAGGAATAAAAAGAAATATTTTCGTCCAGCCTTTCTAAGCAAAAATCACATGTAACTAACCCCATTGTACTTTACCTATTTTAATGCAATTGTTCTATATGGTTTCGTAGCAAAAAGACTTTCTGAGCCTGATAGTCAGCATATTGCGATCCTGGAATGAGCCCCTGTATCATCTAGTCACGGAAGTACGTGGTATGGAAGAAGCCCCGGAGGCTATCCTATCCAAAGCCGTAGAGATTGAGGAGCAAACCAAACGGCTTCTAGAGGGCATGGAGCTGATAGTCAGCCAGGTGAGTAGCCTCCTGGTGCTTCTTTGTTTTTCTCATTAATATAAGCGGTGACCTCTGTGATGAGAAATATTTCCCTTTGAAAGAAGAAAATTTCGGCATTCCATATTCTAGACCGCTATTAAATAAAGCAAGAGCCTAGTCATTCATAGTCATAGATTCCAATGTAAATGAATCTTAGAATGCTATTTGACAGATGTCACTTTCCCTACTCTATATGCAAAACCACAGACTTGCCCCTTCCTAAGGACAGGAAGCTAAGTGTTTTCAAGGGAGAGAAAACTAGAGAATAGAATCTGCAAGATACATGTTTTCTGCAGAGTATCTCAGGACACACACTATTGGAAATTCTGGTCAGATGCTTTCTCTTTTCTCCCCTTACCAGAGGATGAGAGTGGGAAGGGAGAAAGAAGAAAACCAAAATCAGATTAGATGGTCCCGCAGCCACTCACCCCGATCTGCTGCACAGACTTGTCAGGGAGGAGCAGATATTAACATGACAAGACAATGACATCAGTGCACACAGGTTGCATTGATTTCAGGGGATCGATCCCACAAGCACTGGATGGCAGGGAGTCACAAAAGAAGGGGATATATCTTTTCTGGAGTGTCTTTGTTTTGTAATTTATAGAAAGTTGCCTCATTCTAAATTTTGTTTTTTCTTGGGACTCCAAAATCAAAACTCATGTCATTGTACTTAATCTCCCCCAAATAATCTGCCATATTTAGATTGTGTTAGTATTTGCAATAGATATCTCCATTCAGATGGGATAATTTCAACATTAGTGAGATAATACCTAAACAGCTTCTGAGGTTTTCAGGGATAATGTACCATCTAAAGAAAAATATATGATTATAGGAATAATAACAGGAACAATTTTGTATTTCTCTTTTTGTGTACTAAGTACATGTTATCATGTATCATTTTTGTTATTTTCATGGGAGAAAAATATGTCCAAAACAAACACAAAGTACATATTAACCTTGGAATGTATGATTACTGTAAACCTAATTTCTGAGGTCACTAATTTGTTCTATAGTACTCCATTTTCTGTTCTTTTTTCTCTACCACTTATTTATTTATTCTTGTTCATATCATTATTCCTTACACAGTAAATTTTGTCTTAGGGCTCAAGTACCAAAAATTAAAAATAAAAACATAAAGCCAGTCAATGAAAACACACACACACACACAGGCATGCGTGCACACACACACACTTTAAATTCCAATAGGGAATCCCAGATTTGAAAAATATTCTCACTCTGTAGAAAAAGGTTTAGTAGATCCGTGTCTACATGCAGATTTATACCTAATAGCTCTCCAAACTAGCTGACATCCCTAAAGTTGCTAAAATGGTTACTTGGTCTCTATGAACTCTGGGCTTTCCTGGTTTGCAAAGGCTTATAGAGTGTGAAGAAACATAGCATGCCCTCTGTTGTGCTGTTCAGCCTCCTTTTGTTATCACAGCCATGCCCCCAACCCTACCACACAGCCCTCACCACTGAAGGGTTGCTGCCGGCAACCCCCCGACCTTTTGTTTTTTTTAGACAAGATCTCACTATGTCACCCATGCTGGGGTGCAGTGGCGTGATCACTGCAATCTCTGTGTCCCGGGTTCAAGCGATCCTCATGCCTCAGCCTCCCAAGTAGCTGGGACAACAGGCGTGCACCAATAGGCCTCGCTAATTTTTGTGGGTTTTTTTGTAGAGATGGGGTTTCACCATGTTGGCCAGGCTGGTCTTGAACTCCTGACCTCAAGCTTCCCAAAGTGCGTGAACCAGTGTAAGCCACCCTGCCCGGCCTGTACCCCTTTCTTGTAGGTGCTTTTCCCAGCACCTCCCAGCCCAGGGACCTCAAAAGAAAGCAATTGTTTCCCCTAGAAATTTGAGGAAATGAAAATCTCCTGACTGCTAAGCAGCTTTTCTTAGTCATGGTCATCACTAAATTATCTGTACCCCAAAGCATCAAGTACAAGTACAATCTTCATCTTTTTTAAAGTTTTTGGAACATACACTAGATAGGGAATAGACTGAGTTCAAAGCAGGAAGAAAATAAAGGATGTCAGGAAGAATAAAGCACAAAGGATACATCAGGGACAAGACTGGTGAAATGGGGAAATGAAATAGTTCCTCGAGTGAGAACACCGAAGTGAGCTACTACATTGTCTCTTGGTCAAATCTATGTCGATATTTACATAGTACCTTTCCGGTTCTCCATTTGTCTACTCCTGCAAAAACATACTTCATCTGTGATCACATAGATGTCAGAAAACCTAAACATGTATTCTGCTTCTAGTTTTTAGATGAATAGGTTTCTGATACACTGGCCCAGATATACAGAAATCATTGCCTTTGTCTAAAACTTTACATTCATATCTCATTCTCAATTCTTAATCCAACAGTTAGAAAGAACAAGGACATACAAATGCTAATAATATGAAGAATAAGTCACTGTTTTTTTGTGATTAGGTTCATCCTGAAACCAAAGAAAATGAGATCTACCCTGTCTGGACGGGACTTCCATCCCTGCAGATGGCTGATGAAGAGTCTCGCCTTTCTGCTTATTATAACCTGCTCCACTGCCTACGCAGGGATTCACATAAGATCGACAATTATCTCAAGCTCCTGAAGTGCCGAATCATCCACAACAACAACTGCTAAAGCCCACATCCATTTCATCTATTTCTGAGAAGGTCCTTAATGATCCATCCCATTGCAAGCTTCTTTTAGTTTTATCTCTTTTGAATGCATGCTTGGGTGTAACAGGTCTCCTCTTAAAAAATAAAAACTGACTCCTTAGAGACATCAAAATCTAAAATGCCGATTTGTCAAAGTTTCTTCTCTGCTTTTAATAGAAAATCCAAAGAAAATCTATCACTCCCATTGAGAAGTTCTTATCAGAATGTGTCACAAAAAACAGAAGCCAGCCTTGCACATAAGACAATTAACAGCTTACTTTAAAATCACAGTAGATTACCGTGGGTCAAGTGATTAGAATCTTAGATTATTAATCATGCAGTCATTCTACAAAGAAGATTGAATTCTCGGGGTTCTTTATGAAAGCAAGCATGTTCTGTGAGTTCACTTTCAGTGTTATGACAGACAGTATAACTACTGCGCAACTGCAGTGCCTCCAAATAGCATGAAGTTTACTGAGCAGTCTAAAAATTGTTCGGATATAAACATGACATAGCTTTCTCTTTTTCTAATAGCTGTATTCAATCATGCTCTACTAAATTCCCATCTCTTTCGCATTATCTTACACACATTTTATGTTCTAGCAATTCTGGGTATAACAAGTCCGGTCCAGTCAGCTTTCAACTCCTTATTATTTATTTATTTATTTATTTTTATTTATTTATTTTTTTAGACAGAGTCTCACTCTGTCCCCCAGGCTGGAGCGCAGTGACGTGATCTCCACTCACCGCAAGCTCCGCCTCCTGGGTTCACGCCATTCTCCTGACTCAGCCTCCCAAGTAGCTGGGACTACAGGCGCCCACCACCATGCCCAGCTAATTTTTTAGCTGTGCCCTGTCCCCAGAAGTGGAGTCTACAGAGACTGGCAGGCCTCCTTCAGCTGCTGTGAGCTCCACCCAGTTCGATCTTCCCAGGGCTTTGTTTACCTACTTAAGCCTCAGCAATGGCGGGCGCCCCTCCCCCAGCCTCGCTGCTGCCTTGCGGTTAGATCGCAGACTGCTGTGCTAGCAATGAGGAAGGCTCCGTGGGCGTGGGACCCTCCCAGCCAGGTGTGGGATATAATCTCCTGGTGTGCCCCTTTGCTTAAAGCGCAGTATTGGGGTGGGAGTTACCCGATTTTCCAGGTGTTGTGTGTCTCAGTTCCCCTGGCTAGGAAAAGGGATTCCCTTCCCCCTTGCGCTTCCCAGGTGAGGCGATGCCTCGCCCTGCTTCAGCTCTCGTTGGTCGGGCTGCAACAGCTGACCAGCACCGATTGTCCGGCACTCCCCAGTGAGATGAACTCAGTACCTCAGTTGATAATGCAGAAATCCCCTGTCTTCTGTGTCGCTGGTGCTGGGAGCTGGAGACTGGAGTTGTTCCTATTCGGCCATCTTGCTCTGCCCCCCCTAATTTTTTGTATTTTTTAGTAGAAATGGGGTTTCACTGTGTTAGCCAGGATGGTCTTGATCTCTTGACCTCGTAATTCACCCGCCTCGGCCTCCCAGAGTGCTGGGATTACAGGCGTGAGCCACCGTGCTCTATATTTAAATTATTTAATGCTTTTCTCTCCCACTGTGATGGATTAAAGGACCTAACAGAGAAAGCAGATGTGGTCAGTTTCTGCAACTTTTCTTCCCCCTCTCTCTTCTGGATTCCTTTACCTGTGTTGGAATGGGATAGAGGATTAGGAGAGATGAAAAAGTTCAAACATCACTGACTTACTTAGTACTACTGTGCCCTTCCCCTTGTTGACAGGGACTGACCTTGGATTTTCTCTGAGTAGTGGGTATCTTTCTAGTGGAGTTGATTTGTAATTTCCAAGATACCAACTAGTAGGGACACCACACAGTATAGTTTCTTTCCCAGGGGAAATGCTCTGGCTTGATTCTCCTGTTCGCCCCATAGCTCTGCCATCTGTAGCATTCTCCACCGCCTCTGCTATTGTTCCCCTCATTCTGCAGGAACTCTGTTGAAGAAAACTAGCGTGAGGTCAGCTATGTGTCAACCACTCCACAGGAAACTCATGCATCATAACCTCTCCAAGCAATGAAGTAGCAATAGGACTGGGTCATGGCTGACTCCTTCTCGAGGTCTCTACCAGTTCCCTTCTCGCATTGACATAGACACAGAGTAGATCAGAAGTTGGATTCATTAGCAGACATTCACCTCAGGCATGAGATGCTAGTCTTTCCTTCTTTAAAATATAGTGAGTAATTATCTCTATCAGCAATTATCTTCAAGAGTCGACCTCACAAACATTCTCTACCAGGTCACTGAATTATAACACCCTCCTCAAACAACTAATCTTCTGTTTATTGAGTATGGAGGGAGGTAACTGGATGAGGGTCCCTAAGCTTGTTTAGTGACCTCTAAAGAACCTAAAATGAGGGCTAACCTCATTGCAAGCTCCCCTTAGAAGGCAGCAGTATTATCAGGCTGGTTTTGCAGCAGCTTCTGGGCTTTAGCATGGATTTCTAGAAAACAGACAATGGAAAACATCACTTTCAGCTTTCTGATAGACATTAAATAAAAAGGTGAGGGGGCAGAACAAAGGGGAAGGGAGAGAGAAGGGAGGAAAGATAAGAAGAAAAATGAACAAAAGACTTGGGTCTTTAAGACATTATTAGAATACTGCCCTTGGTGAAGACCTAGATCTCCCTTAATTTTTACACCCTAAAAGCAAATATGATCTCATATACTCCTTTCACTTCCCTTTTCTTTCTTCCTTTCCTGAAACTCTAGTTTGTATTAGGAGCATTCTTTGCCCTTACCAATTTGAGTGGCTGTAACTCTAGAGACAAGCAGAATTTGGCACGTCTTCAGATCAGAATTCAAGGCAATTTTCCACCTCTCTTTAGAGAAAACTTTCCCGTGCTCATTGGAACATTACCCCAACCCCTCCACCCCCCAAAAATTATCTTTCCCCATAGCCAGGGTTGTTTTTATCGGAATCCTTCCTGCCCCTGCTTCTAGCTGTGACGAACCAAACCTCTCAGAATACAACAGAATACTCTGCCCCAAACCAATCTTATCAACTCCTCCCTTTCCTCCTAAATGCATGCAAAATGTCAGCTTGCTCATATTTCAGCCTTCTTCTTGCAAAAAGCAAAAGAGCACAGGAAAACCTGCATATACTTTATTTCTAAGTCATTTGTTGAAAACATCTAATCCTATTATGTTACTCACTTAAGTTCTTTCTCTTCAATTTCTAGCTATTTCCAACAAGAAGGGTGGGTTTTATCAGGGGTAAAATTTGGCAATAAATGGACATGCAATTATAAGAAATATAAGGTAACCACTAACCATACGTGACTTCAGGTGCTCCTCCCTATTTAAATGTTTATTCCAAGCACAAATTTAGAGCTCTGGTAAACCACTGAGGGGGTGATAGTAAAAGGCCTTGCCCGGTTTGGCTGTGACATATAAACTAAATACTGTAGTTTTCAGATAAGATTGAGCACAGTGATGGGTGTTCTGTACAGTCAGCAAAAGGTAGCAGGAAGAGGATATTTGGGAAGAATGTAACAATCACATCTCTTCCAACTACAGGGAATTTATTTTTTTCTTCTTCTGTGGATTTCCATGCAAGATTACATTTGATGAAATGGCCCTGCTATGGCAAGAAGAGCAGTGGTTAAAAAAACAAAAAGAAAACACCAAAAACCCTTGAAAGGTATTGATCTCATAGATTAATAAATCACTCGTCATGAGTACTACAAGGTCTAACAGAGACTTCTCTGTTAGAAAATCTGTCTTCCCAGAGTTTGCTCTCAAGTTGTGGAGAAAGACGGTTATCTAAATGTGAAAATTACTATGCTACATGGTAGAGGAAATGGTATGATAGGTGATACTAAACAAAGTGCTACAGTGGCTCAAAGAACAGCTGGGAGACATGGATGTGAGAACAAGGAAGGTTTTTGTTTGTTTGTTTTTTTGGTTTTTTTTGAGACAGAGTCTTGCTCTATCTCCCAGGCTAGAGTACAGTGGCGTGATCTTGGCTCACTGCAACCTCTGCCTCCCAGGTTCAAGCAATTCTCCTGCCTCAGCCCCCCAGGTAGCTGGGATTACAGGCACCTGCCACCATGCCCGGCTACATTTTATATTTTTAGTAGAGACAGGGTTTCACCATGTTGGCCAGGATGGTCTCGAACTCCTGACCTTAAGTGATCCTCCCACCTCGGCCTCCCAAAGTGCTGGGATTACAGGTGTGAGCCACCGTGCCTGGCCACAAGGAAGTGTTTCTGAAGTGGCATGGTTGTGATGGCTTTGCGATGAAGTTTTGAAGGCTTGATGGGATACTAAAAGGCAAAAATAGGAAGACAGCCTATCTGCCAATTAACTTATGGCATTTTATGATGTAGATTTCCCTATAGCCCGAACAAAGGAACTGAGATGTTAGTACATATAGCATTATAAAGTATCACTAATAATAATTAAGTTTGGCTGAAACATAAGAAATGTTCATTTTTAAACAACATTTTTTAAGAGCTCTCATTATTATGTGCTAGACACACTGCTATAGGGTAATAACGCGAGAAAACCTAGTAGGATTGTTTACGCTTTGAGGAGAATCATTCATGCCAATTTGAAGAGTTTGTACTATTTCTACCAGACAACAAGAAAATAGCAAATTTTAGTACAAGAAAGCAATATGTGCAGAATTGGAAAATAGAAATATTAATCTAGTTTGGGAGGTTGTGGGAGTGTGAGACAGGTAGAGAAAATATAAGAGGTCCAGAAACAAGTTGAAATAATATCAATATACTCTAAGAGAAAATCAAAAAGGGCTCTGCCAAGAGGACAAAAGTAAAGCCAGTGGCTCACGCCCGTAATCACAACGGGCGATTTTGGGAGGCTGAGGCGGGTGGATTACCTGAGGGCGGGAGTTTGAGACCAGCCTGACCGACATGGAGAAACCCCATCTCTACTAAAAATACAAAATTAGTCAGGTGTGGTGGCATGTGTCTGTAATCCCAGCTACTCAGGAGGCTGAGGCAGGAGAATCACTTCAACCTGGGAGGTGGAGGTTACAGGGAGCCAAGATCTCACCATTGCACTCCAGCCTGAGCAACAAGAGCAAAACTCCATCTAAAAAAAAAGTAAAGGACATGGGATGTATAGAAAGAGCAATAGGCCTGGACT